AAATCCACTATGGATTTGTGCAGAAAATTATGTTCTCTCCTCTGCAAGACTGAGATCCTCAGATTGCATAACATCAGAATAACTGTTCTTCTGGGAGCTAGCATTTTCTGTGCACTACCCGCTAACACATTTCATTACATTTTTATCACCTCCCGGAAGCACCATGCAAGGGCGAGTACAGAACAGTAGTCTAGACTTTGATCTGTGCGTTCAGTGCTGCACCCTGTTCTCATCCTTGCTAGCCTTCCTGCTTCATGACAGGGAGCTTTCTTATCTTTTAGATGTGTTTTACGTTCCATAAACTTACTCATTCAAGGGTGTAATTCAGTGATTTAGTAACTTTCAGGGATGGTATAATTATCCCAGAAATAAGTTTTATAGCATTTATATGTTTCCAGTAAGAGACTCGTAGACATTTACCATTTAAAGTATTTGATTCCTCTCCCCAGCCCCAGCCCATGGGTTTTGGTGTTGTATCTAGAGAGTTTCCTGGACCCATGTCCTGGAATCACGGCACTTTGTGTTCTCTGGTGTCTGCGTTCAGCGAGTAGTTTTGAGGATTCTCCGTATTAAACATTGATGTGACATTTGCCTGTTTCCTCCTCAGCAGCATTCCATCATGTGGATATGCCACATTTCGTTTATTCAGTAAGCAGTTAGTAGGTATTTAGGGTTTTGTGATAAATAAGTACAAAAATCATGGTTTTAAAATGTGTAACTTCCTTTGGGTGTCATTATAATTTAAATTAACATTCTCCTCTACTGACAGTCTGTGATACCTGACAGTTGATACATGAAGCCAGGTCCCTTGTATTAGACCTAGTATTGAGTTTACTTTCCATTATGTTTGAATGACGTTTAAATGAAATTTCCTTTTAAGCATCTCCATCTCTACAGCTGTTCTCTCTTGAAAGTTAATATTTCTGTAATACACAAACACACACACATACACAAATACACACTCATATACTCTAGGGTTTTCTTCAGCTGGCAAGAACAAAATTACATCATCTGTGGGAGAATGTGTTTGCTGAGCCATCTCCCAGACCTTCCTTAAATTTCTTTTTCTCCATATTTACCGCAGCCCTGCAAGTTATAGATTCATCCCAGGTTTCCATCAGCAAATGAATGAATGGTTAATACACAAACACACACACATACACAAATACACACTCATATACTATAGGGTTTTCTTCAGCTGGTAAGAACAAATTTATATCATCTGTGGGAGAATGGAACTAGAAATTAGTATATTAGTAAATAGTAATTAGTAAATTAGTATATTAGTCAAAATAATCCAGACTGACCAAGATAAATTCTTTTCTGTGCTGAGACTTTTCATTGGTGATGGCGTCAGGTTCTGAGGGTGCTGGTCCGTAAGGTGGATAGCACTGGGGAAGCCCAGATTCCATCCTTGTTTCCTGCAGCACAGGTCTCAGTGGAATACTTGTTAAGATAGGTGAATATTTTTATGTGAGTAGTTGATGGCTCTTACCTTTGAAATCTTAAAACCTTAAAATAACTAAAAACTAGTCAGCGATGCCAAGTATATTTTAGGATATGTAATATGAGAAGCCAAATACAGAACTGTCTTGGAACCCAGTCTGGGGAGGTGGAGGTCAGATGCCCCTTTCCATTCAGAAGTACTGATCTTTCCATACCCATTTTAAACATGCACACCAGAACTGGAACTTTAATTTCTAAATGGACGTAAACGCCCTGCCTGCCTGTCACATTTGAGGCTTTAAAATTTAGGTTATGTCTGTAAATTGACTGTTTTAAAGAGTAAACTTCTCGGTATGACTGGGAAGCACTTCTCCATGGACCACTTGTGTTTCATGGTCACGCATGTCTGAGCAGAGTTTTTGTGCACAGGTCTGGTGGTTGCGCTGTCTTTTCAAGGACATCATTATATAAAATGCTGCGAAGATTGGGATAGCAGCTCCCTCTTGGCCAGAGGGTAGATTTACTTCTCCATAAAAACAGAAACTTTTTTTTTTTTCTCTTCACGGTAAAGGTTGGGCAGATTTGCTAACAGTTCTTTTAAGAGCTTGGTCTTTTCACAGCAGGGAAGCTGCTTCATTCAGTAAAGTAGCTGTTGTCCAAGCACAAGGATTTGAGTACCGTTCTCCAGCACCTAGTAAAGACTGAGAGTGGCCCAGCACACCTATATCTCAAGAATTGGAGACTGTGAAATGGGACAGTCTATGAAGCTCCAGCCAGCCTAGCTGAATTATGAGCTTCAGATTCAGTGAGAGACCCTGTCCAAAAAAAAAAAAAAAAAAAAATAGCGTACTACATCCATTCTCGTCTCCACATACACAAGCACACCCACCCACACACACCCTGCACATATTGACATGAACATGTCTGTGTGCCACAAACACAGAACAAAAGACTGCGGGTTTCTAAGCTCTGGATTCTTGAGCTGTCAGATAAACCCCCTGATTGTCCATCATACACTTAGGTCACTTGGTTCCTGTTGGGATACAGATGGCATCGTTACGTTCTCACCGTGAGAAATACCTCTGGGAGTTTCTTCTAGTCTCTGAAGTTATGGTATGTTTTAAGTAGACTGAAACAGTTTGATTTAAGCAGTTGTTTTAACTGATAGATATTGGTTTAATTATGTGACTCAACTGCTCCAGCAGCTATCATTTGAAGAAATTCAAAGTGTGCTGTGAATATTTGTGTTTAATGAGAAAAGTATGTCTCATTAGGATCTCCCCTAGGAATCAGAGAGGTAGCAGTTTCTAAAACTAGTTTCCTAGGCTTCCTCAGGGATTTGACTTGACTCGGCTTAGTTTCTGCTTTGAAGACTGTTTTTGCTTTAAAATGACAATTCTCAAATATTTAAGACACACTTTACGTTTATATTGTACCTGTTAGTTAAATTGTAAAAGCTTAAAGGAACTTTGGGCAACCTTGATTCATTGAGCTTTAGCGTGAAGAGTTGAAGGCTTAAATCCTATAAATATCCAGTAGTTTTCTGTACCTTGAGAATGTGTGTCTTCTCAGAATGAAGACTTAAGAGCTAACCCTGCCTGTAGAGTTCTTAAAACTCTTTGGGGCTGTTGACGGGGCTGAAAAGTTTCTTCCCAATTAGTTTTTATTAGTTATTTTAATATGATTATTAGTCTTATAAAAATGTACTCAGACTTTCAGGAGGAATTAATGGTTACATTCATCTGCATCTAAATGGGTTGTTTTCAAGTTAGAGTTAATTTCAGTTCTTGCCTTTTGGTTAGAGCCAGATTATGTCATTTAAAAACAAACACAATTAACCCAGTAATTAGCTATAATTCTTTATCATACATTTGTCCTTATATGCCAACTTTAATACTTTCTGCCCACTCTTCAGCCAGGCTGCACCCTCTTCTTCCATTTCTTTTGATTTAATTTTTCCCTTTGCCTTGGTAGGACCAGCATACACTAATGTTTTTTTTTTTTTTTGCTTTTTTTTCCCCATAAAAGGCAGGTGATACATCTGCCTTTCTCTTTTTGTGTATGTCCACCTCTGCAGAGTTCATAGGGAACCATTGTGAGCGTTCTTTTTGCGAAGGAAGGGGCGAGATTGCCTCTCCCCCTAAACTGTATATGGAACTGGCTTAGATGAAACACTTCCAGCCTGTTCTGACCTGACACCTGTGTGGTCTGCAAGGACAAGGGCCGTCTTGCTTCCAGATGCACATCCATTTGTAGGGTTTCTTTTCAGGCTTTTACAGGGACAGTCAGTGGTCTGAGGACGAGCCTTCTGCTTAGAAGCTTGGGTATCCACTCTGGAATGGCAGAAGAACTCTAGCCTCTTCTGTGATCTTTCAATCTCTGCCTTTCTCATTGTTCCCCTGCCTGCCCCATGTCCATCACCTTCCTTCCATCACTGCAATTGAATTTCTCCTGCTTGTGACCTTTATAAATAAAATTACACAGTGGTCTTTTATGGATTTTTATACTTAGAAGATTTCTCTGCTATTGCATGTATAAAAGTAAAGGAAGTTTAGTCAAGGAGATGCTCCCACTCCACAGTTTGCTAGAGAGCATGATAAGGAAGGGAGGGAGAGAGGGAGAAAGAGAGACAGGGAGGGAGAGGCAGAGGGAGGGAGGGAGGGAGGGAGGGAGGGAGGGAGGGAGAGAGGGAGAGAGGGAGAGAATGTGTATACACCTATCTGTGTCTCTGTGTGTGTGTCCATGGTGGTCAGCTTGGGTAGAGCTGCTGATTTGATCCTACCTAGATGTCCTTTCCCTGCCCTTTGAGAAGCAGAGCAAGTTTCCTTAAGTCTCTTTTGTCTGCACCATTCACGTGCTTATGTTGCTGGCTTCTTCAGCATCCATCCTAGGGGTAGCAGATCAGACCTGCAGGAAACTTGTTGCTTTGTCGTTCTTCAGATCTTCAAGTCTCCTGCCTGTCTGTGTGTCTTCCGCTTGGTACAGACTTCTTTGCTGGCTGGCTTTTTTTTTTTTTAAAAAAATAGAATAAAGACAATTTTTAGCTGTATTTTTTTTTCTGAGAGCAGAAATTTGATTTTCTTTAATAACTTTTTAATAAGCTTTCTATTTTTTTCTCTTTCTTTTTTTCTGACACAAGGTTTCTCTGTAGCTTTTGACTGGACCTCTCTCTGTAGACCCAGCTGGCCTCAAACTCACAGATCCTCCTGCCTCTGCCTCTCTAGTGCTGGGATTAAAGGCGTGCAACACCACTGCCTGGCTCCTTTTTATAAACTTTAACTTCATTTGCAAAAAATGAAATATTTGTGCAAGTCAGATCAATAAGGGGCTAATATATTTGCCCAAATAAAGGCTATTAACAAACATTAAATTAAGAATATAGCCTTGATATAATTCTATCTATATAAAATGTAATTGAAACCTATTAGCGTCTCACGAATCATTTAGACAGCACAGCACATGCAGACTTACTAAGGGAAAGTGAGAACACCCCAGAGTGGGAGTGACTCCAGGGAACGAATGCCCTTGTAATGTTTCTTTCTATTTAATTTCAGAACCTTTTGGCTGAAAAAGTAGAACAGCTGATGGAATGGAGTTCCAGGCGCTCGATCTTCCGAATGAATGGCGACAAGTTCCGGAAGTTCGTAAAGGCCCCACCTCGAAACTACTCTATGATTGTTATGTTCACTGCTCTCCAGCCTCAGCGGCAATGTTCTGTCTGCAGGTAATTTATGGATTTAAACTCCTGGAAAGAGCAATAGCCCCAGCTTATATGCTTGTATTACGATATACATGTATAAGAAAATCCAGTACATTTTTAGTGTGAAATATTACTGAATTGTAAAAGTAAGCTGTGAATCAGGACAATGTCCAATGTCAGAAGTATCTGTTAAAACTGACTTCTCATTGTTAAGTCTTTTTGTTTATAGATCCGTAGGTAATATCTGTGGTCTATGAAGTAGTTCCCTGGTATACTTCCATGTAAAGGAACTTTTTTTTTTTCAGGGACATTCATTTACTTTTGGTCCTAATGATTAGAAACTTCTGAGTAGATGAGAGAGATAAAGAATTTGAAAGGAATGACGTGTTTATCAGAAAGGAATTTTGGAAAGAACAGATCTAATGCATGTAAATTCAGAGATAATGGTAGAATTGTTAGAAGTGATGCAGAGACTCTGTGCTGCTTTACATCTCTGTGGAAGAGTAGCCGAGAAAAGTCGATGTGACGCAGGGAAAGATGCTTCATTCATTTTGGGTATTTCATTTTATTTTCACTTGGATTTGTGTTTTGGGGCTTGCACTCAATGAAGGCAGCCCAAAAGTAGTTCAAGGATCCAGGGCTGAGACAAAGCTCTCAGAGGCATAGCCCAGCAACCTTTTATTTTTCCCCACCTCTTAACAGCCCATTCAGCTCTGGATTTTTCAGTGGATCAAACCACTAATATGTATAATGTTCACTATGTATATGTACACACATGTGGAGTTACGAGCTTTCATGACCAAGTAACTCAACAGTGCCAGCAGCTGCTTACCGTGTCTTCACCACACAAGTGGATGACAGCTTTATTCAAAACAGTTTCCTGTGGATGGTTTCTCCAGTACCTTCTAGTAGTTATATCTTGCAAAGCCACAATGCCACATTGTAAGTAAATAATTAGCATTGGTCTGCCACAATATAGAGGGATTAGATAGCCATTTCTTTGCAGCCATATTGCACTCTGTGCATTGAATTTGGCAGGTAGCCAATTGATTTCCCATTCGTATAATTTTGTTATTTCAAGATTGTTATGAATATTTAATCATTGTAGAATCTTTTGTACCCCTTCTTTTTGAGTTAGCATAATTCCTTCAAATACCACCCAAGATGTTGCATTTATCAACAGCATGCTCTTTTTAATACCAAGTAATAATTTCATAGTGCAGGTGTTTTGCAGTTTGTTTATTAGTGTGTCTGTGATAGGCCATAGTCAAATGTTTATTAGTGTGTCTGTGATAGGCCATAGTCAAAGGGTAGGCAGACTATTTTGCAAAATTACCTGTAGGTTATGTGTATCAGGTGTTATGAAACAAATGAATCTTATATGTAGATTTGATCCCCCTTTCCAAGTTTTTACATTATATGTACATATTTTAAAAATCTAAAATAATTCTAAACTTAAAACATTATAACAAGCATTGCGAATAAAGCATATTCAGCTTGTTCAAATAAAACAACTGAATATTTCATAATGGCTGGTGAAGATTAATGCCTTTTTATATGCATATTAATTTTGAATATCTTTTTTGTGTGTTATCTAGATAGTTTTGATGAAGTACCATTTCATGTCTTTTGTCTATTGCTAACTGATTGTTCCTACTGAGTTATGTGCCATCATTTATATGTGTGTGTGTTGTGGGTGTATGTTGCTCACTCTGTATGTAGATGAGGCTAACCTGAAACTAGCTCTGGGCCTTGACTGGCCTTCATTTTGCAGTCTCTAGTGTTAGTTAGGTATATGTCTTCATGCCTGATTGTATATACCTGCATTACAAACAGCCTCAAGGGGAGTTGGAGACACTTGAGAAAATCATTCTTTCTGCAGTGATTGCTCCCTCCCCAACCCCACACAGGAATGAGTTTTTCTGGTTCTTTCTATGTCAGTGTAAGTTTGGATGGTTTCTGCACTGACGTTGTAATATTTTACAATTCTGTATAGTTTTGAAAGGTTCCTAGTTAGTTTTCAAAAATATATGCTTTCCAATTTTAGCCTTTGCTGCCTTTTCCTTCTCTTTTAAGGCACAGGAAGTTTCTCGTAGCATCAAGTTCTGTTTAGATGTATGGTTGCTTGCAGAGAGGCTGGTGACTGAGCTTCTGGCTTCCTTTAAGTCCTTCACCAGTCTTCCTGCTCTTCCCTCACAGTCACTTTATTCTCAAACTTCAGAATTCAATTCTCACCTCTCTCCCCGTTAACGTCAAAGACCTTAGCCAAATAAAATTGTTAATTATGACTATTCAATACAATTCTCACCTCCTCTAAGTGTTAACTCCAAACTTCCGTTGCTAAATTATACTGTAGAGAATATTTCTGTAATTGCTTAGCTGTGTTCTTGCACAAATTTACTCATCTCTAGAACTGACTCTCTTCTAGGAACAAAGCAGCCTCTTTCAAGGTTGTTAATATGGATCAGTAGATTTTTTAAAAAAATCAAATAGAAGGAAAATAAAATCTTTCATTTTAGAATTAGACAAAGTTTATAAACAAATATGATGATGTGTTACAGATTAATGTAGTATTGTACTTCATTTGAAACATAGTAAATTACAGATATGTTTTGATTAGATGTTAAGTGACTATATGTGCATATTCACATATGAACATAGAAATGTGTGCTTATGTGTGTATATAAAACACATATACATACATACACAAACTTGTGATTCTCTTACTGAAAGGTATATCTGATAAAATCCATTTTAGCATTGACATTAAAGCTGAGAGGTTGTCTAATTTTCCTGAAATCATAATGCTAAATGCCCTCCATGGCGAGATTTTGTGACTGGAGAACTCTTAGAGTGTGATGCCTCCCAAGAGCATGGATTCATCATAGCCCTTGCCCTAGGGGTGGAACTTGTGTCTTGCCCTGGCATATTTAACTGAAATATTGGTGTTTTTGGGTGTAGATGCATCAACCAGCAATTCCTAAACAAATGGTTGTGGAAACTTTGTTTTAAGGCAGCAGGTGCAGTATTTAGTGTACTGAGCCGAAGCCATGCAGGGCAGAACTCGTCGGACTTCTGTTGACTCCAGTGAAGTCACTTGTAAGATTAGGTTCTCAAGTTAGCAGATGAAAACCATGTGTAAATTACATTGTGTTGGCATGTTATCCAAAGGCCATTTTAAGTACATTACTTTATAAATGGAGACTTGAACCCTTACTTGTTTTTTACTCCTTAAATAATGTGTCTTTGAGAGCTTTTGTTTTAAATTCACTCTTTTGTTCACTTCCTTAAACAAGATTTGCCAAAGACTAGAAACTCCACTGCCATTCACTTATTTTCTGCCTCATGGCTTGGTTGATACTCGGGAGAAAATGTTCACTAATTTAACAGTAGAAATGATTCTGGAGTTATTGCTTAGCTCAGTGATTTAATTTATGTTTCAACATGTTATAATTTCAGTCTATTGGTATTCTCGGAGTTTCTTTGTCAGGTTGTATAATCCCAGCTTCTTTACTTTTTGCCATATCTTTTGCTGATGAAGGAAATACTGTAACATTTGTCTGAGCTCTTTTCTGTTTTCTGTATTCTGCATTTAAGTTCTTGCTTTAATCATTGATCCTTATCTCTATTGTAATTTCAAACGTACAAGAAATTGGGACAGTAGAATATTTGGCACCAGTGTTACTCTTTACAAAGATTTTACAAATGGGTAACATTTACTGCCTTTAATTTTTTTTCTCTTTCAAGTAAAAGTCAAATAACCTTTGTCAGCCATCAGCAGAGGTGTCTGAACTGGAGCAGTCAGTCAGTACATTCCTAAATTCGGTAGAAAGTTTGAAAGCATGAAGCCATTCCGACATAGTCTCTCCTTTTGTTTGTTTTGAGGTAATCAGTGTTGATCTGTTATATGTGATTGCCATACCTTAGTTTCTTTTGTTTTATATTACTCTCACATGATACATGGTTTTTGTGGTGTTTTGTTCTAAAGACATTGACACTTTGATTTTTTCACTTTACTTACAACTAGATTTGTGTAATTGAGTGTATGAGTGACATAAAGGTCATTCATACATTCTCATCAAGAGGCATGTAGTAGTAGAGTGTTGAGACTGAATGCAGGTGATTCTCTTCTGATCTGTGTGTTGTCCAGTAGACTTTCTTTCCTCTGTTGTAGTATATATCTGAGAGCTGTAAGTAGGTTTGGAGGGAAGATACTTTGTTGTCTTATTACTTCTCTGATACTCAGATAAAACACCATGACTAAGGCAACCTGAAGATGCATTTATTCAGGTCCATGGTACCAGAGAGCTAGAGAGGAGTAAAAATAAGGACATTGTTGGATCATGAGGAAAATTAGAAGTCATCATGTTAGATAAATTACACCAGGCTCACAAGGAGCCATATTGCATGTGTTAGTCATGTGTGGATGACTTTAAGGAAATAAATAGCAATCCAAATGAATTGGGTATGATAGGGATGTGGGAGGTAAATGGTTTGGTGATGGGAGATGGATAAGAAGATCAAGGGTAAGTGAATTTAATTGGAGTAAAATAGTAACACATGAACACTATCTTAGTGTGGAATGCTACTCTGCACAATTCATACTTATTGAAGTTCAACAATACTATGATAAATATATATGTATTTTTAATTACTGATTTTGCTTGTATCATGTCTAATTTTCTTATCAAGTGCACTGTCCCCAGACTATTAGTTTTTTCTTTGTTTTGCTGTATTTGTTCAAGAATCAAGAGTGGGTTTTCAAAACTGTCTAGTCAGGCTTACTTAGATCATAGTATTGGCTATTCATTTGTAGTTTTACTTTTACTAATAGCAAAATGTCATTTAATCTTTGAATTAAACTTTTTGACGAAGATGTGAGCTGTGGGCAGAGCAAAGAGTTGTGGCTCTTAGGTCTGTTAGGAGTGTCATCAATAGAGTACATGCACCGTGCACAGTGTATTCTCAGGTGTTCCAGCCTTGGGGGTTGGGAGAGAGGGGGGCAGTATAGTCATGGCAACAAA